TTCCTGATGGTTTGAAATTTAATGTGTGGTACTTTGCATTTTACTAAGTGTCATGGATTAAAAACTGGTGATCAACTTAACACCAGTTGAATTAAGTCAGCACGGTGCTGAGCATAGATGTCCCACCCGAGGAAAGTTGCTAGCCTAAGTAGAGATGTGGAGAAGGTGAGCTGGGCATTGTGGGCTTCTCTAAGTGTTGTTGTTTGGGCTGTTGGTTCTCCTGGAGGAGCTCATCATGACTAGCTCTCCCAGTGTGAGTCAACCATTGTCACTGGAGGAGCTTAGGACCTTGTTGGTGAGAGTGGCTGTGGTTCACTTTGGGGGCGCTCTGGTCCTTGCATCAGGCATTGCTTCCTGGATCCAGAGAGTAAGGTGTGTACTGTTTAATCTCCAGGAGAAACTCATCACACTGGCTTTCAGGCATGTACTCAACTGTTCTTATCGTTGTAGGAGCTTGGGACCTTTGTGTTGCTGAGGATGGCTATAGTACTTTTCAGGGAAGTCCTGGTTCTTATTTTGAGTGTGACTTCTGGCTCCAGTGCAGAACCCTCAGCCTACTAGCACGGTTCCTTCAGCCCACTTACATAGACTTTCTAGCTTCCATGGCTGACCTTTGGGCCTTCCCCACTACGGATCCCTAAAACAGACTGGCATGAGTTCTTGTGGGCTCTAGACCTCCAGCTGGACTTGTGGGAGGCACTGTTGTGGGCTCTAGGTCTTCATCTGGACTCATGCAGGACATTTTGCTGTGGGATCCAGGCCCTTAGCTGAATATTCTGAGTCTTTTGTTGTGGACAGATTTCCTGCATTTTCTTGTATTAACTTTAGGTGGCCATCATAAAATAATATTATGAATTCTGTGTCCTGATTCTAATGTTCTCTGTACAACCCCTGACTACAACTCTAAGAAACCTACATTCTAAGAGTTTGAATGCTGTCAGTTTTATTACTTGGTCACTTTTTAAGTCATCACAGTGTTTGTCATCTAAGAAAATAATTACTGTTACAGTTGCTAGTAGGAAATGACACGTTAGTGAATTATATAGAAGCAATGTAATGGTTCCATAGAGCACAGGAAAATAAACAGGAAATGACAATCAATTTTCTGTACCAGAAGAGCAAAGGCAGTCCTAATAAACAAGACTTTCTTCCTCTTACTCTGCATGCTGTAAGTCCTGTGACTCACTTGGGAAGCTTTTGTTTTCCATCTAAAGTGTTTTTGCCATGAGAATTGTATAAAATAATAGTTTAAGTTCATTTTCATAAAAGTAATTAAACTTTACCATTTTTTATTGTAGCAACAAACCAAGCAATAAATAGAGGGGAAAGGCCACAAATACAAACTTTTAATTCAATGTAGTAAAAAATTAGATCTTCTGAGCAAGGAAAATGATGGTAAAATGCGTGAAATTAATCATGTTTGAAAAATAAATCAAATAAAAACAAAAACCTGTGGGAAACTTCTATTGTGACAAGCTACAGACCAACAGGGGTAGTGTTTAAAATACCCTCAATCATGCTATTTGCAGTCATTTCAGATAGATTACTAAGTACCAGGAACCTGGCAAAAAGCCCTGATTGTCTGTGTTAAGGATACAGTGAAAAAATAAAAAAACAGACTAGTTTAGTAATATATGAGTGGCTGGGAAGTCAATGTCTCCAGATGAGTCCTCTCTCGACATTCCATTTCAGCCAATATTTATTGTTGTAAACAATGATAGGCAGGGCCAATGAAAGATTCCAGCTTGGCAGAAGAGTCAGAAGTTTATGACTGAATGGGCAAGTATAATCCTGGGAGACCTCAAGAGGGCAGAGACGGCCTCATGCTAAGGAGGTTCTCGTCCTGGAATATAATCCTGGGCTGACTCAGGTGGTCTTATGCTAAGAAGAGCTAATGGGAAATCTCAGATGAGTGGTAGTGATAATGTCAAGTTTCCACTTTATCCCTTAGGGAAGTATGCAGAATTAGCCATTGTGAATTTGTTGTCCCCAACAACTAAATATCTGACAAAGATTGACTCTTTAAATTCTTTAATCCAGGATAATTTGTTCTTAAAATAGTTCATAAATTCATAACTAGATTAATCCAGAATGATGTAGTGAGAAAGAGAATGCATTGCATGTGCATGTGTTAAAATGCACACATGTGACAGACACTCAGCTTGATGAGTTTCTTCAGGACAGTGCAGTGGAGAAGCATTTGCACAGTCTCTGGTTCTTGTCTCAATAATGACCTGCTTATGAGTAACACTGGTGTAGTTGTCAGAGACCCATGTTGCTGGGGATTTTGTAGAAGGAGCTTTGCTCTAGGCAAAGCATTAGTGCCTGTGGCTTACTACTGATAGGATCTTGTGTTAATTTGCGAATTCCCAGGTTAAATGGAAAGAACTGAGTTTAAATTCTTCCAGTTAGCAATTCATGCAAATTTCAAACTTTTATTTACAGAAGACACATATATGTAATATACACATAAATAAATCTGTTTTCAAGGTCATCTTCTTTTCAAAACAAGCAGGAAGTATTATAAAAGTTCTGTTTTGGTAATACCCCAAAATATACAACATATATTTTAACTTTTGTGGAGTTACTTGAAACTACCTTTATTTTAAAACACTAGTGTGGAAAGTTTGCTGAACAGTGAGTAGAAAGATGTCCACGGCACACAGCCTTAAGCTTCCATGGAGAAACGTGACGTGAAGGTGGTGAGTAAGGCTCCTGTTGGGGGTGACCGCTTGCATCCACTCATATTTTCATGATTAGTTTAAAGATATTAATTATTCTCCCAAGCAGCAAACATTTGACAAGTCTGACTCAATATTGTGCTTTAATCATTCTCACTGTAATGAGTGTGCAACTGGCTTGAACAGCACATCACAACCCCTCCCCAGCCCCCCAAGAGCGTATTATTTCTCCTGGAAAAGCCTGAGACACAGTCCAGGGAAACAGGTTTTGCCTAGCCCTAGGGAAAGAATAGAGTATCTTGCTGCACAATAAAGGCTTTAGTGTCAGACTCACAGCAGGGCCAAAGCAGCAGGGCTTGGGAATCTCACAGAGCTTTTGCCCCGCAGGGTGCAGGACACAGGGTGCAGGGTACAGGGCACAGGGTGCAGGGCACAGGGCGCAAGGGGCAGGGTTTGTTAGAGCTGATAGATGAGTGATGCATCTTCTTTCTGCATCCATCCTCCCCTTTAGATCCACTCTTGGCATTGAACAACCCATGGCTTTGTATAAGTAAAGATGACACATAGGTGCCACAAATTGTCACACAGCACGCCCTGTTCTGGAAGTCCCCTAGCAGAACGCTCACCTTTTCTCCCTGGACTCCTGGTCCCCACGGGCCTTTCAGTGCCTGGCTTTTCATTGCCTTGATAGCTTCTTTCACAGGGAAGGAATTGCATAGCTCTCTGTCAGACCCTCGAAATGTGCTGCTCTTTTACTCTTTTCTTGGATATAAACTGAATTAACTTTTCATTTCTTCTTGCTATCTCAGATTGCTCTGGAAAACCTCAGATGTTCTCCTTTGGAGAGGGGAAGAGAAGGACGAGAGTGAGAGGAGAATATCAGGAGACCTAGAGAAAAACTACTTTAAAATATTATTTCTTAATCAGTTATGAGTGGTTTAAACAATATTTTTTGCTCTTCTATATTTTAATAAATTTTCTACAATAAACATGATTTTCATCTAGCAAAACATTACTAAGTTGAAATTATTTTCAGAAAATGCAAAGGCAGTTGAAAGCATATTTTATCTGAAGATTGGGGGATAAACTTATTGTGGATAAGTGCTGCCCAAAGAAATATGTGAGCCAGGCTTGTAATTTTTGTTATTTTTATTACTACATGTTTGCAGTACATAATGATTATATTATCATAGGGATTTGGGAAATATACTTAACATATTTTAATCTTTGTAGTATTGAAAAGATAACAAGCAAAACTGATTTTTAAGAATATAGTCTGGTGCTACTCCATTTGCCTACTTTTGAATTTCTTGCCTGTATTTTTAGAGTCATAAAAATTCCCTGATCAAATCAATTTCACCAGTTGCTCTCTTCCTCTAGTCTTCTGGCTTCCGGTCATCACTCCATTGAGTTGAGGGCACCACACATCCAACTCCATCCTTCTACTTTTGGGTGTCCGATCTCTGGTGTGGGCTGAAGAGGCAGTGCTCTCCATACTGTGCTATCCTATGCAATCGTGGAGGTCACTGACCTTCTCCTAGGCTTTCCCATTCCATCCATCCATCCATCTGTCTGTCTGCTAGTTCCATTCCATTTGGATTATTGTAGCTCTAATCTACTTCAAAATCAGGAGTGGTGATTTCTCCAAGGCTGTTTTTCATGCTTATGATTGTTTGGCTGTATAGTGTCTCTTGTGGTTCCACAAGAATGTTAGGACATTTTTTCTGTTTTTGTAAAGAAAATCTTTCAATTTTTGGTAATGATTACATTGAATATATAGATTAAGATCCGTGCAGCAAAAGAAACAATGAACAGAGTGAAGAGAAAACTTACACACTAAGAGGAATATTTGCATTCAAATCATCTGACATGTGCTTAACTTCTGAAATCCATAGGAACTCAACAGCAAAAAGACAAATAACTAAAAATTAACCAAGGACTTTTACTGACATTTCTCAAGAGAAGAAGACATACAAGTGGCTCAAAGGCCTAGGAACAGGTCCTGGACACCACTAGTTAGCAGGGAAATGTGGATCCAAACCACAGTGAGAGCATCTCACGCCGATGAGGAGGCACCTATGGAAAGAGTGCTGGGATGCCCAGGAGAAAAGAATGCTTAGGTACTGTTGGTAGGAAAGTAAAACAGCACAGACTCCCTCACATTACAGCAGAAATGCCATGTCACTCAACAGCCCCACTCTGGAATTTATACCCAAAAGGAACAAGTCAGAATCTCAAAGTACACTGGTGCCTTGTATTCACTGTGGCATCACGCGCACAGTCAGGATAGTGAAACAATGCCTCTAGGCATAGATGAGTGGATGCAAAACACAGGCTTTCATTCAGCCTTGGAAAAGGAGATCCTGGGACTTGTGACAATGAAGATGAGCTTGGACACATTGTGCTCTGTGAGATAAGCTGGACACAGAAAGAAACATAATGCATGATCTCATTTATCTATGGGATGTAGAAACCTGCATTGGACCATGGATTGGAATGTGGATTGCAGGGGACACAGGTACCTGGGACTTTTGGTTAAAGAGCACAGAGGTTCAGTTAGTGGGATGAGTAAGTCCTGGAGCCTCACGTACACATGCTGGTGATTACACCACACTGCATACTTGTGGTTGCTGAGTTGAATGTGTGTGTTCTCCCCACAGGCATGCACGGAATCTCCACTAGAAGAGGCGGTGGAAACGTTGACTAGCTTGATGGCGAACATCATGTCACAACACAGATGATTTCAAAACATCAAGTTGAACAACTTAAGTGTGTACAGTTTTTGTTTGTTATGCCTGAATTAAACCAAGGACAAGCAATGGCAGTGATTAAATGGGAAAAACAATAATGCAGTCAGTAGAAAAAAACTTCCTACTTTCTCAGTAGCGTATGTTTGTGGTCCGTCATGTTTGCATTCCTGGTGAGGGCCTGGTGCATGCATGTAATACATCTTGATTCCTCTTCACATCCCAATTTCCCTGCCTCCCTCCTCCTTTCCTGTTTGTGGGTCTGATTTCTTCCTCTTAGCTGACTGTGCTGTCTAAACATCTGGCTCTACAATGAGAGTGTGGGGAAGACGAGTGTACTCACTGGTCTTGATTTTAGGACTAACGTTTCTTGGTTTTGCCGTTCAGCATGCACTGCTGTGTGTTTGCTGCATCCGGCCTTTACCAAGGTAGGAAGATGGGGTGCAGCTGGCCTGGTTGGAAGGGGCCCAGGACGCAGTGCAGCATGGTTCTTGGGACCCTGCTGAGATGTCTGGTGAGAATCCAAGCTGGTCCTTGCTCACATGACCCTTTGTGCTGTGAGCATGGGAAACAGGAAAAGGAAATGACAAGGTGTTGGAGGCTGTAAACCACATCCTGGCTTTCCTCCCGATAGCTTGCCTGTGCTCTGAGCTGTGCTTTGATTTTTATTGTCCTCCCGTTTTCACTCGACCCAAATGCGCTCTGCAGAGCACGTGATCTTCACTCTTATTTTTATTTTCATGCTTCTAATAAATGTGAAACTCTGCCACCACTTTATTTCATTCAGTTCTTTGTTTGGAACAGAAAAGGACTTAGAAATCACCTCTACGGGGAGACTCCAGCACCCTACAGCTTGGGAGCATTTTGTTCAGGGATTTTATCATGAAGGGATGTTGAATTTGATCAAATGCTTTTTCTGTGTCTATTGAGATGGCCAAAGCAATTTGAACTGCATATTGATAAATTGCATTAACTGATTTGCAAGTGTTGACACGTTTTTGCATGCTTGGAATGAAACCATTCTAATCTCAGTGTATGATTTTTCTTTATGTGCTGACTTCTATTTGCTAGTTTTGCTGGGGAGTTTTGTATCTAAATTCATCAGGGATATTGGTCTGGAGTTTTCCTTTTTTTTGTTGGGCCTTTTGTCAGATTTTGGTGTGATGGTAATGCTGGCTTCACAGAATGAGTTTGCAAGGGTTCACTCCACTTCAATACTTTGAAGTTATTTTGGAAGCATCAATGTTAGTTCTTCTTTAAAAGTCTGACAAAATTGAGCAGTGTAACTGTCTAGTCCTGAGCTCTTCTTTGCTGGAAACACCTTATTATTAACTCATTTTCACTGCTTGTTACTGAAGTATTCCTGTATTTAGTATCTTCATGGTTGAATATCAGTATGTCATATGTATCCAGAATTTTGTTTAGATTTTCCTGTTTGTTATTATATAGTTTTTCAAGGAAATCTCCAGTGGTTTGTGATGTCTCCTTTTTTGCCTCTAATTTTATTTATTTGGGACCTCTTCCCCCTCAAGAGTTATCTAATTAAAGGTTTTCGAAAGAACCAACTCTTTGTTTCACTGGTTGTTGGTACCGCTCTTTAGATTCTCTTTTTTCCTTGCCTTGGCAGGGCCTCGTGCGTGCTGGCAAGTGCTCTACCTCTGAGCTACATTACTAGCCCGGCAGTTTTATTTGTTTCTTCTCTGATTCTTACTCTTCTTGTCTTGGTTTGTTCTTGCTTTTCTAAGTCCTTAGGATGCATCATTAGGTTATTTGTTATTTTTCTGTTTTTTGATGTAGGTGATAAAAATTTTCCTCTTGGTGTTGATTTTGTTGTGTCCCACAGGTTCTCGGTTTGTTTTATTTCAGACATTTGCTTCAGGAATTTTTAAGTTTCCCTTCTGCTTTCCTCAGTGATACACCATTCATTTAAAAAACATGTTGTCCAATCTCCCTACATTTATGTAAGTTCTAAAGTTTGTCTTGTTACTGACTTGTAGTTTCATTCCAGTGTGATTAGAAAAGATAGAGGCTAGGATTTCCTAGTTAGAATTTGTGTCTGTTTTATGGTCCAGTCTCTGCACTCTTCTAGGGAGCGTCCCATGGGCCTTTGTAAGGACTGTGTGTGCTGTGCTGATCCAGTGGAATGTTCCGGAAGTATCTGTTACAGTCTGTGTCTGGATGTCCCCCCAAAGCCTCATGCAGTCCTGGTAGGGGGCCTTTCAAGGCGGCTGAAGCTAGAGTTTGTGAGTGATTCGTGGTCTGATGCTGGGATTATGGGTGCAAGTACATACATTATAGGGGAGGGAAAGAGGCTCTCTCTCTCTCTCTCTCTCTCTCTCTCTCTCTCTCTCTTTCTCTCTCTCTCACTCTCTCTCACTGTCTCTCTCTTTCACATTGCTTTTGCAGTCTTTCACAGCCATGAACTATTTATCTTCTACCACATGCCACCCTGTCTTGGGACCAGCCAATTATGGTCTGAAACCTCCATAAACTGTGAGCTATGTAAACCTGTCCTTGAAAGTCGGGAATTTTGTCTCAGCAATAAAAGAAACTAAGACAGTACCTGAGGCCATTTCACATGCAGTGTGGTTTTACTGTTGCCTTGTTGAAGGTTTGTCTGGATGCCCTGCACTCCTCAGGTTGGTGTTTGGAGCCCGTTCTCCATCAGTTCTGGTGCTGCTGATTTCATGAAATGTGGCGCTCAACACAAGGTGCATGTAGGTTACATTCGTCACATAGTCCTGCCAAGCTGGGTCTTTTACATTGTGACTTTCTCCTGTGTTTGTCCTGAAGTCTCTGTCAGATGTAAGCACAGCTGCTCCAAGCAGTGTGGTTTCCACCCTTCATTTCATATTATCTGTGCTCTGGACATCTGTTGCTTGTACAATTGTATTAGATGTTCTTGTTTTTTCATTTTTAACTAATTCAGTCAGCCTGTGCCTTGTAATTGGAGAATTTAGTCCATTTACATTAAAGGTTATTATTGAGAGGGTTGGGCTGATGCCTACCCTTTAGAGGATTCTCAGCTCATTGTTTTGAAAATTTTTTGTTTTGTTTCCTTTATTAAATTAAAGAAATTAAAGAAAGCTTAATTCCTTTCTGTCACTCCCTAAGTGTTTTGGGGTCATACTGGGCGTTGGTCCCAGGGCCCCTGCACTGAGTTGCAGTCTCAGCCTTTTTATTTATTTGTGTAAGACAGCTCACTATGTCACTAAGTTGCTCGGGTTAGGCTTGGATTGCTGAGCTCTGCCTTGGCCTTGGAGAGGTGGGATTGCAGTGTCTGCCACCAGGCCTTCGTTCTTTGAGCATCTTTTGGAAGGTGCTCAAGGAATTCCCTTTGAGGACATTCACTGTTCCTTCATTTCTGGAGGACAGTCTTGGTGGGGATGGTGGTTCTGGTCAGCAGATATAATCTTCTGGGACTGACCTACTGGATCTCTGCTGGGACTCTGCTGTGAGGTCAGTGGGCTGCCTGTAAAGGTGACCGGGTACCTTTCTCCTGCAGGTATTAAAACCCTCTGCTCTGTAATATCGCTGGCAGTTTGACACTAACCTGCCCCACTGAAGGTCTTTCCAGTTGTGTCGCTCGGGTCCTCCCAGCCTCTGGTACAGGTCTTGCCCATTATTTCTAAGATGGCCGTCTTCATTTCCTCACATTTGGCTATCTGAAGGATGCAGCCATTGACTACTTCATGATGCAAAGACCTTGCATGCCGTCCTCCTTCATTTTTCCCCTCGGGTCTGTTTGAAGGTGAAGTTTTAGAAGACGTGTCTGCAGGCTCTTACATTCCTTCTTCTGATTGATCAAGGCTGCTTTTGAGGCCTCCCACTGAATTTTTATTTGACTTATTGAGCTTTTCACTTCTGATATTTCAATTTGGTTCTTTTTCAGAATTTCTATCTCTCGCCTAATTTCTCATTCATGCTCCGTGTTGTTTTCTGAATTTCATTTGATGGTTTTTGTATTGAGCTTTACGAAATCATTTAGAAAGTCTCTTTAACAGGCAGATAACCATTTTGATTTCTTTGAAATCTGTTGCTGTAGAGTTGACATCTCTTAGAAACATCATATTGCCATGTTTATTCTTTCCATATTTCTTGTGTTCTTTGGTAGCTTCTCACATCTGGTGGGGTGGATTTCTCTGCCATGTTTTGGGGCAGCTTTTTTACTGAGCAGCTTTCTCCTGAGGGTGTGGCCTGGGTGTTGCTTTGGTTTCCACCTGAGCTCTTTACTGCAGTCTCCAGGCAGCTTCTGTGACCCTGAGGAGAGAGGCTGGGTAGAGCGCACATTGCTGGAGTTGAGGGACCTTGTCTCCAGGAGTCAGGCAGGAGAGGGGTCACTCTAGCTGTTCTGGAGGGAGGCATGGGGCTCGACTGTGGCCACTCCTGCAGCGGGAGTGCTGGCCCTCTGTGTGATGGGCTCATCAGGTACTGTTGCTGATGGCTCTGCTAGGGTCTCTGACATCTGGTCATGATGACATCCAGAGTAGGGGTCAGTGCATATCCACTAACCAGTCAGTGACATGGCCCATGTGCTTGCATGGGAGGTGCAGCGGCAGGCACCTGGCGACAGCACGCATGCCCAGGCCGGTCCAGCGTGCAGGCAGAGCAGACCGGTCGGTGGGTGTGCACAGGTGGGGGTGCCCAGCCAGGCTGTTGCTTTCTTCTCTGCTGCTGGACTGGGGTCTGGTCTTGTGGGCTGTGCACAGCTAGGGCAGGGTGGTGGCTGGTCCCCTGGACTCTGGCTGCTCACCCGAATGAGCGAGGAGTTCAGAGCTGGAACCGGCAGAGCCCTCTCGGGGCCTCCCATGGCCATGGCAGAGGTGCCAGCTAGCGCTTCTGTCTCCCAGATTCCTTCAGCTGAGGCCCCGAGGGCAAGAACAGACTGGGATCTGCAGGGGCAGTGGCTATCCTGGGCCCCTGGAACTGTACCCAGCTAGCGTGGGCACTGCCCGTGGCTGATCTGCAAGTGACTGGATGGGAGGCCCAGACCCTTTGGCCTTTTCACCATGGGTCAATTGCTGGAGAGTTTAAGTCAGAATCGTCTACTGATCCAGTCAGGCAGTGGGGTGCCACAGGGCCCAGGAAGGGAGGTGCAGGGGTGCTGAGCCTAGAGTGAATGGTCTCATTAGAGGACAGCCCACTCCCTGGAGGTCATGTGAAGTCTCCCTGGCCCTTTGGCTGTGCGGACTTTGGGGAGCTGGCGAAGTCAGCAGCGCCCTGAGCGTGCGGAGCCTGCAGGCTTAGGTTTCTGTGTCCCTATGGTGGGCTGAAGGGCCTGCTGGGCCCTGTGGTCAGCTCTCAGGTGCAGTCCCTGTCCCAACGCTGGGTGGGCCAGCAGGGGTGGCACTGCTAGTGTCTCTGGACAGGGTCCCAGGTCTCACCTGCGAGGCCCGGCTCTCCCTGGTGTCTCACTTATAATACACATGCATTTTGTGCAGAAAAGTACGAAAGTCTGTGTGAAAAGTAGTTATTTTTGATAGCAGGATTAAAAGTGACTTTTCTTGTTTCTATTTTTTATACAATGACCATATTTTTTTGTCTAATATACCTTGTTAAAAGGAATATTTACAGAATTTTGAAAAATTCTGTTTGAATTTCCTGATGTTCTATGGTTTTCCATAGAATTAGGTGTTTTCCTAAAAATAATTTAGGATTAGTTTCAGAATAGCAATAGCATAAATTTGCAGAGAAGAACTTATGAAACTTTACAGTGGCTGTGTCGGGAGCATGTAGAGGTCCGGAGCTTCAGATTTGCAGCGGGGCTGACTTTCAAAGCCGTGAGCCGCTCTTGCTGGTTTTTTCCCTCTGTGGGGAAGCACACGGCATGTCTTCTGATTGATATTCTCAATTAAATCTACCTTTGCCATGAGTTATTGGAGAACAAGAGAAGGTTAAGATCCAAAACTCAGAGAAATATCTTCAGAATATATACAATATGCAACGGTTAAATGATAATTGTTTTCTTTTGGAAAGAGGTCACTATCTGCTCTGTGGTGTTTGACTCTGTCCTGGTCTCCTCAGTAACATTTAAATTCTGTTGGCAGCCAGCCAGCGAAGTCACATGGAGTACAGCCCGACTCTGACACATTCCTGGGGATCCTAGCCAGGGTCATTGTACATATGTATTGGTTACCATTGATGTTTTAATATGCATATTTATAATGTTCATATTATGATAAAAGTATCTCCAAATAATATCAGATCTTTGTAGTAAAAGGATTCAAAAGCCTTTTCTTTAACTTTTTAAAATACATAGTACATTATTATTATTGATAGTCATCCTGACAAGGTTTTCTACCAAAGGAAGATAAAAAATTGAAATCTGAACTACACTTGTATTGTTTTAGAATAAAAATAAATTATGTTTAAGTTAATTGCTTACCATAATGTACTTGATCCCTAAACTATGCAGGCCTTAATTTGGGGTTGCTGTTCTCCTAAGATATGGAGCTATGTTAC